CAACAAAACTTGCATCTCTTGAGATGGTATAAAATGCTTAAGATATCAAAAACAAGCTAACAAAAATATTATATGTGTTGAAACAGTGTGCAAGTTTACTTCCGTAAAGTAAACAGATATTTTAAAAGAAATTGTCAAAAACCAATGCCATATTTTATAAGTGTGCAGAAAAAAAATGAAATTACAGAAAAACATATAGCGGTAAAACGTAAATGTGTAGAGATGTAAAATATACGAGGGACGTTCAATAAATAATGTCATTAGCTCGATGACATACAACATAGAAATCATATGACATTTAGTTTGACTTTCTCTCATTATTGAATCTTTAATGAATTAATAACAGTTTATGTGACCACTTTTCATCACATAGTTTCATCGTGAGAAGCTAAAAAGCAAGGGCAGAAACTGCATTATAAATGAATGGTAAAGAATTAATAAACTAGAGTAAAAATAAAAGCTTCATTAAAGCTGCTGTAAAACGTGTTAAAAATCCCAAAGAAATTTTCACTGAAATATGTGACATTTACCTCAACCAATGCCTGTTTTATAGACAAATAAGCAAGTGGATTTCAAAGATAAAACATTATGTAATGGGCATCAAAATTGGGTACCGTCCTTGCCAACAAAAATTATAACAACTTATGTACTATTTGCCCAATTTCAACAAATAATATATGATAATGTATGACTGACTTTAGAACACATAGCAAATTTGGTAGACATCATATCAGGAGTAGTTTACAATGTTTTTAAGAAACGTTTGACGGTAAAAAAGCTTGGTACTCAAAGATCACCCTATATTTTGAAAAATGAGTGAAAACGACAGAGTGTAGGAATGTCTTAACAATTATTTTAAAATATCAGTAACTGTAGTTATCCAAGTTTGTTTCATATTCAAACAGATAATGGAGCATCTATTGCTTAAAACACTCAATACAAAATTTACCATAAGATGTACTTGATAAAAACAGCAATGGTCCGACAAGAGTAAAGGTATGCAAGAACACAAAGACATATTTATATGCAATTTTCTTAAATATTAGTGGTACTATTGTTCAATTTCGTATTCGGGGAGACAGTTTAATTTTTGGAGGAGTCTAGAAAACAATCTTTTTGCAAAAAAAAAAATCGAAAGGTTTATTAGAGGAAGGACCTAGAATCAGGAATCCACTACATTAAATTTCTTCATGACAGCGTCCAAACCCTGCACCCCTGAAGGGTAAAGGGGTTTTCGGGATAAAAAAGAAAGTTAATATTTTTACACATTAACAGTATTTGCTAGATCTTTTACCTTTTGACTTGTTTCTATTTCCAAACTTGAAAAATTACTTTTTAGAAAGAAAAAAAAACAAGTCCAGGAGATCATTGGATATGCTATTTTCCAGTATACTAAGGGTCATACCCAAAAGTGTGTTCTAAATACAATCAGAAATTAAATAAAAACTTTAACGACATCTATTTTAATCAAAAGAGATTAATAAGTAAAATCATGAAGACTAAATCATTAAAAAGCGTCTTTTGCTTCTTTCCGAGCCCCGATGACATAATTTTGTTTTTATTTTACTATATTCAATTTAGTTAAGAATGGATTCATATCATATTTTATAAGTTCACAGATTTAAGAATGCAATACCAAACAGGGATGGTATCAGTTTCAATATTTAATTGTAAGAGTTTGTCTTAAGATATATAGTTTATTATGCCATTTCCGTAGAACAACATTACAGCTTGAAAATGCTTATTCATTCTTTAAAATGATGATTGATAAAAAATTAGGTATGAAAGGGAAAATGTAAAGACTTTTGGTTCAGGAAAAGTTGACAGATACTGACAGAACAACAGTCCGACTTCTATTTTGTTATACAGCTGATATTCTTATTTCGTCAACTTGTTTGTTCATAATTTACCTCGTTTTAGAAATTGTTCATATGTAGAGCATGCTCTCAAAACAACGGTGAAATACTCATACGCTCCATATGCAAGTATATTGCTGTAAAAGTAAGGGAAGTTAAGGATATAGAAGTTTAAATCATTGCTTTTATCATATTTATGGTTGGTAGATTATAATTAAGGTCTTTTTTAAGTAGAATATCTAAATATGAAACAGATGTGTCAGACTCTGTGGTATCCTTTATCTCAAGCTCATCAGGATATATTGAATTGAGATAAGAATGGAAATGACCATTGTTTATTGCAAATACGTCGTCGATATATATCTAAATGTCGAGTAAAAGGCCAAATCAAGTGTATTCTTCTTTTCACGTATAAGATTTTGCACAAATTCTGCTTCATATGAATACAAAAATAGGTTTGCTGATAATGGGGCGCAATTGGTAACATTGAAATTCCAATAGATTGTTGAAAGACCTGGTTTCAAAACACAACATACATATTGACAATCAGAAACTCTAGGATTTTTTGGTGTCAACTTCAGAGTACTTGTGTTTTCAATCAGTATGTTTTTTAACAAAATGAATTTGCAAATGACCAATGACAACGTAAGTTTAATTTATCTACGAGTTCCATTTTCGTTGATAAAACAGTTGTCAATGATATCAAAAAGCCTGGAATTCTAATTTATTGGAGTTAAAATTGGGTATCAAAATGCCGTTAGGGAATGCTCACTCCTCAATAGCCCCTGGTCCCACATCTAATTTTTTGGAGGTCCGTGTTTGCTATGCTCCATTATTAGCTCACCTCATCCATAATGGGGAGGGGGAGCTTATGTGTGATACCCTAGACGTCGGTGACGGCGTCCAAGGTTAATGTTTAAGAAATAGTTTTCTTTTTATGTACTCTATGCCCCAGATTGATCAGATATTCATGCAAGATGCTTCTAATAAATTTTATTTTGGCAGTCAAGGTTGGTTTCAGTTGCTGCAATCCAGATAAGAAATGACCATGTTAATGTTTTGGAGCAGGTTAACGTTTTTGGTGGAGGTTAAATTAAAGTTTATGATACAGGTCTGATTTCCAAGTAACTATTAACCGTTTGTTTACCAAACTTGCATCGGGAAAACGGTAGGTTCGATAAACTCAGGTGAGCTTTGTGGCTCGTAGTCATTTTGCTTTTGATTTTACAGAAACAGTTTCATGAAAACCTCTTTTTCCACAGTATCCCAATGATATTTTGGAAAAAGTTTGCATATAGATGCAGGGAGGATGGGGGTACATTATTTTATTAGTGTGACTCCTTTCCTTGTTTAACAAAAATTAAGGTAAGTACAATTAGAAACAAAAATCCTTAATTTTGAACCATCTAGTTTGTTATGACATTTAAGTAAAACAACATTACAGCTCTAAAATTCTTTTTTAAAAAATCTACAAAATGATGACTGATGAAAATGGGTGTAAGGAATAAATATGAAAACGTAATATTTAAATCAATATCTCTGATTTTTGGCGACTGTCTAATCAGATATAAGGAAAAACAAAATGAAAAATAAAATCGAATGGTGAAAAATAAGTTAAACAGTATCAAGATGAAGAACTGATTTTTAAACGGAAAAAACAGCTCCTTGACTTTATCCTTTTCATCTTACATCCATACTGGTAGGGAATGTTAACACGGAAGAAAAGATGATCGAAAAATAAAAAAAAAAAGGAAAATATTTGACTGTGGCAACGCACTTTGAAAAAATTATGCACTTTGAAAAAAGTTTTCAAAGTGCGTTAAGAGTTTACATCAATATATTTTACCATGGATACACTTAACGCACTTTGAAAAAAAATATGTAAAAACAAAAGTTCTGATTTTAGATTTAAGTAATGGAAAGATTCTATTTCAGTGTTATATATCATTCAGTAAACTTATGAATTGATTTACTCCCGTCAAGAAGAGGAGAAGACAGGAAAAAGATCTCTCAGATTAACTCTTTCTCTTTCAATACAAAGGCGTCGGTAAGAAAAAATCGGGGGAGGGGAGTAATAAACCCACAAAAGGGAAAGCCGCATTTTCCATGCCTATATGATGCATATCTTTCCAAAATAAGTGGGAAGGGGGAGGGACTAAGTCCCCTCCCCTTGCCCTTCACCCGGTTATGATGGCTATGCCATACCCAAACAATGGATAATTACGTATTTACATTACCGGTATGACGTTGAAAACTATCAATAATTAAATTAACTTAAAACAGTTGAAAACAAGAATTTTATAAGTACAGTAAAACGTATGAGAAAGAATTTTCATAGTCTTGGAAAATTAAATTGCCCTTTTTTCTTAAGAGAAATACTATTGATTAAGTCGTTCTTCATCTGCTAATTACAGACTAGAAATTTTAAAAAGAAACTAAATAATGGTATTAAATAATCATCTCTCTATTTCCCTTTTACAATGTTTATCAAAACCTAAAATATCTAAAACGTCAATATCTCATGTCCTGAATTGACCTTAGCTTAGCACCAAAAAGTTATCCAACCAGGGTCAATTATTTATTATACCGATTATTTGTAAATATATTGATCAAACTTTACATTTCTTTTCAAAGTGCGTTAATATGGTCGATATTAACGCACTTTGAAATTATTTTTAATTTTTTCAAAGTGCTTTAGCTTGGTCCCAAATTTAACGCACTTTTAAAAAATGTTTAAAAGTGCGTAATTTTTCAAAGTGCGTTGTAACACACTGACACATGGATGTTATATAATGCATCAAAAATATAATTTGAAAAAAAAAGATAATCGAAAAACAAATCAAATACGAAACTTTCAATATGTGAAAAAGATGACCATGTACAGCTGTGCATTATATCCCAATTCCCTGAAAAGGTTGATCATTCATCTTATACGCTATTTCACAGATACAAGTAAATCATTTTGTCTACAAACGTATGTATTTGTTAAAAAAACCACTGAAGCCCCCATCCCCCCGTATGACAATATATATGACAAGGTAAAATTTTCTCAAATGGAAACCAAATATGTTAAAAGTTATGGACAAGGTTAGGGTTTTTTAAAGGTAGGTCAAACACCAAGGTCAAGTTCAATTCGTCAAGTTGTTGGTTTTTAATGTTTACATAATTTTTTACTATGCAAGCATTTAATCTGAAGAGTATCAAAACATGAATGAAAAATATACTTTTTAGCAGAAACGTTTATAGGAAATGTGTTACATGTACAGGATTTCTATTCTTGAATAAATGAAAACGAGAAAAGTAAACACTAAAGAAATTATTGTGAGTGCTAGTGTCAGCCTATAGAAACATTTGTCCAATGTTTTTCCGCGATCTATCCAGACAGTGTTGTGTTCGCGATTTATATCAGAACTGGTCTCTTCTGGGTCGTTGAAGACTTCACAGGTTTTACAGGATCTCACGATTTTCATATCTAACTGGCAACTATTACTGTAAACACGATGAACAATTATTACACTCAACTGGACAAAACCTGCTACCAAAAGATCATAAATCACCTTCATTCCCATGTATGTGTAGTTAGTTTTTGATGATTTTGGAATGTACTCAGCGACTAAGGTGAGATAAATGGCTATTGCAAGAAGAACTGTAACCGAGAAGCTAGATCTTTCACCACAATCCCAAGGCATCCAAAACACAAGGATTTGAAGAAATTGCATCAGGGTAAGGGGAAAGATCAGAAAACATACATAATATGATGAGTGACGTGATATCGTAAACTCTATTTTAGCCCTTGAAACTTGAAAAGTTCTATGTTTAGTGAAAAAATCCATGAAGTCAACACTGATTCTTGTATCTATCAATATCCAGTCCTTGTTTTGTTGGTAAAGTTTCGTGTTGACTTTGTTTTCAGCTGCTTTAAAAATAGTTTCTCCCACAAAGGATCCCCATGCCACTATGTCTATTGAACATTTCTGAGTATCCCATGGAAATTCGAAAAAATCTGTTTGACATTCCGAAGTAAATACGTCCATTTTCACCATCAATGCAGAACCGTCTCTGTAACACATTACTGTTTCATCCACCATTTTTTCAGAATCAAATCTACTGTTGTGATTTATCTGACGGATTTCTGGAGTCCAGATCTCTGATTCCTTAAAATATTTCGGAGAGTCTTCCAAATTTGTTGTAATATTCAAATCTATCCATGACATTTCTAGATATCCATTAACTGTGAATTTACCATTCCTGTCATCAATGTCAATTAAATGAAAGACATTAAAAGAAATATCGACAACTGTCTGTTTATTGTTCTTCGTGTAGTTCTGAGGAAAATCATTGAGTGGTTCGGCTTTTGATGTTGACGTGAGAGGCCATAATGTCATGATGACGATGAAAAGTTCAACAATGGCAAACATATTTCTCTGTGAAAAAGCAAAAAGTAACCAATTTTAACGAGACTTTATTCATGCAGAGAACGCCATTCAAAGCAAATATTCTTCAATTTTGCTTGGAACAGCTGATTTAACACTTATGACATGTAAATGTTGGATTTTATAATATATTAGTATATAAAATGATAGAAGTCAAATGTATAAGTAACCTTACAATAATACACAGAGAATGCGTAGGAACTATTTTCCTGGTTATGGATGCTGAATATATACTTTAAGTGTTTTGTATTAGCATGCAAATGCACATTAGAAGCTTGTAATATTTTTTAAAAACTTTCTTACCTCTTTCTGATATATTCGTCCTATGACTTTGCTTAGAATATCTAAACTTTTATATTCCTAACAAAAAATGAAATTCCGAGAAGTTGAATTTAACCTGATCAACAAATCTAATGGCTATATTTAATGACTGTCATCTTGCATATTTTTCCTGGTAAATTTTCACAATTCTTGATAAATTGATAAAGAAATCAAGAACTTTATGTGGTATATTGCATATAGTTGTCCCCACAAAAGTCAAATTTTGAAAACTTCCTGAAATGTGCTGAATTCAATAAATTGTGTGAGAAATATAAATTAACAGAAAATATTATAGTGTCAAAGTAGTGTATTCACAATTTTTGTTTTTATGACGTCACAAACAATTCCGATTTCATATTCTTTTTCCGAAAGAGGACAAAATGGAAAAAAATTTCAACAATTTTCACTTTAAAATTTACAGAGCGCAAGTTTGTTCAGGAACAATATTGAAATATTTCATTGATATTATCATTCTACACATTATATCAAAATATTGATCCTGAACACACATGCGCTCGGTGACTTTTACTCAAAATATTGACAAAATATGTACATTTTTCTTAAAATTCATAAAAAACTGAAATTTACGTCATATTTATGACGTCATTTCGTACATATGGCGTCATTACTTATGAAAATGTTCAGTGCTTTAAAGTCAGCATATACTCCCCTGTTTAGGAACTTAATTAAATACATCTCAATCACAGTTTGATTTGGGGGGCAAATATTGGTTATTACCGAATAAAGTTCTTTTCTTTTGCTTTTAAAAACAAATGCGTGTCCCTCGGTAGATTTGATTCAGAAGCTGCAGCATATATGTCCCACTGGACTCATTGGAAAAACCTTATTTGAATTCTTGGGTATATAAATCGCTTTGTGATGTATATATTATATTAAGGGACTTTTAATCTATCTTGTTTATTGTAATTATTTGACCCGTTCGAGTATTTATTTTAGGACTTAGTTATTTTTTCCACTATACATAAGTAATGAAGCCTACGACTTGCAAGTTTTTTTTATTTCTGTATGTATTTAATTTTTAAAAATTTAGATTCATCTTCAAATACATTGCCAGTGCGCATGAGCCTTACTTGGAAACCTTTCCCCATCAGATGTTTACTCACTTCCTTTCAGGAACAGTCTTTAGCAACTGTATTGCAGAAAATATTCCGATGTTGCCCACAACGAACGATGATCTTGTCTATCCATGGATGTGTGATCGACAATTTTGGATTTAATAAATGGCTTACAACCGGTATTCCGAAACTACATTCTGTGGGGTTTTTTTTAGAACAGGAAATCATGTTCGACAGGCACAGTCCCTGGGTAAACAGAAAAAAAATCCGTAGAAAATAATGTTTGTTTAAAAGAATAATTTTCTGACATTATAAATCATAATATTTGCGAAATGGATATTTTAAACAAGACTGTTGATATCCTTGTTTCATCAACTTAATCGTCAGTAATTTGCTTTGTTTCAATTGTTCTTACGTAGAGCATTTCTCTTGCAAATCGAATCGACCAAGAAACATGAAGTCCATATACAGGTTATGATGCTATATTGCTACATAGATAAGGGAAACTGACAATAGAAAGGTTGACTTAATAATTTCAATCATAAAATTGTGTCCTAAGGACACCACTGCCGCATTTTCCAGTAAAATATCAAAGATATAACACATGAGGAAAGATATGGAGATAACGAATAGTATTCAGTCTCAAAGTCCATAAAACAATACAAAATATTAGCAGAGCAAACACGGACCCCCGAAACATCAGTGGTGGGATCAGCTGCCATTGAGGAGTGAGCATCCCCTGCCGACCGGTCACACCAGCAGTGTGCCCCTTGTCATGATCAGGTAATAACGGAAAAAATCCGTCGTCAATTCAGTGTATAAATAATGGATTAACAATGGGTATGAAAAACATATGTGTTCCAGACTCTTTCGTAATTTTTTTTTTGTATTTTCAGTTCAATATCATACATGTACATAAAATCAACGTAGGAATAAAAACGATAATTGTTAAAGAGAAACGTCGAAGGTGTATCTGAATGCTGAATTGAAGGCCACAGCAAAACTTTTTATGCAGTTTTTTAAAATGAATTCTGCTTCATATCAATGCAAATATGCTCTGCTGATATTCGTCCTCAATAAGTACTCGTCGGAATTCTTCAACTCCCGATCTTCATATATTAGTACACCTACCACTATTCCTATAATTACAAAAAGACCGGGAGTTAATGGTAGGATGAATGTCGTTTTCTTTAAGGACAACCTGTTTATGCTTTATAGTTATATAGAATGGATAAGAAAGTTTTAAATATATGGTCTCGAAATTTTAAAACAGCAATTTTTTGCATACCCGGTAAGCCCTTTGTATCTGTCATATTTCATAGTATTTCATAAAAACAGGAACATTCGTTGGAATTTACAGATGCTCCCTCTGGAAACAAGACATTAGAATTTTGTGTTTCTTAAATATAATGTACAATATAGTATTAATCCTCATTTACTATGAATTTGCAAGACGTCTATTGTAGTATTTGAAAAATCTGTTTAAAAGTGCGAAAAATTGGCATTTTCCAATATAATCCTATAGTTAAGGTCAAGATCTAGTAAAAACCTTGAGACAAATTTTTTGGTGCCAAATCCATTATGACGTCATAATCAATTTCAACTTTCTTTTTCCCGTACTTTACGGCTTTAGCAGAATTATGTAGAAAATAGAATATTTTCATGTCATTCAATTTGAAATCATATGAAAAGTAAACCGGATACCTATATTAAATTTGATATTGATTTCAAGAAGAGGCCATGAACATACTAATTACCGTTTTCTGAGAGACTGTAGGCAATCTGGATACATTTCATTTGCCGAATAGGAAATAAATTCCCATATTCAAGACTGCTTTTCTTAATTTATCATTGGAAATGACAGTTTAAAATACCGTTTTCATCTTGTTTACCTACAAATTATGCTCCGAAACACCTTATTTGACCAAGCTAAAGTTGCAAAGCATCAATAAAGGAATTTATTTCTCAAGTTTGATAAATCTGTAGGCACCTTTCATTTACTAGATCTTGACCTTAATTAATGTACACGTGTCTGTATTTTGTGACGGTCCCTAACAAATACCTTGATGGTTAATTATTCTTTAACTTGGCAGGCATTCTAAAGTTAATGCAAGTTATGAGTTTCTCTGTTGTAGTTTTCACATTATAAAAACCTAGTCGGCCCCCTTAAATGGAATTATACTTTCTGTATCATTTAGCACCCTTATCACCATTTATTTAATGTACGTAATAAAGGTTGGTAGATTGATTGTTTGTTGTTTGACGTCCTCTAGAGAATTTTTCAATCACATGGAGACGCCACCACTTCACTTGTGCTGGTGGAGTGCTGGATATTTTGTCCTTTACTCGGCACTTACGCCCATTGAGCAATGTGCAAGCTCCTATACTGCGACACGGGACCAAGTTTTTACGGTTTCATCTACGTCTTTACGTTGGATTAGAACCAGCGACGTAAGGATAAACTCTTTATTTCTCGGCTCGAGAGCAGACTTTTAAGCACTGCGCCACGCGGGCGACTATAATCCGTTGATCATGCGTTTAAATTAAATTTGAAATCTTTGCTTGAGGCTTTTTACGATGGCATCATCAGCATATAAATTTATGTTTTGTTTTCTTTAATGCAGTTTGATTGTCCATGTTTATATAAAAGAAAAATAAAAGAGGGATTGGTGTAGACCCCTATTAAAGTACAGCTGTGACTTGATGATAAGATTGACTGACAAAGGACACAATGTATAGTCCTTTACGTACCCCTGGTTAGCATGTTTAATCCAACGAAAGTGAATACATGTATATCAACATTAAAGTATTTTAGACTTTTAAAAGAGAAATTCATAATTCATGAGATCATTTGTTTTATTGAGTGAAAATAATATTTATAACAGTTATTACAGTTACACTTATAATTAATTATATACAATCACAATCATACAGGTACTGCACTTTCAGAAAACTACTTTTGTTTTTTCTAATATATAACACATATTCTTTTTTAAGAAACAGAGTTGATTGAAAAGGGAATTTAAAAAATAAAGTTAAAATTGATTTCATTGAAAAGTTACATTCTATTTTAAAATTTTCCACCAATTAAACGTTGAAGCTACCTGTAATTCTCACCTTTTTTCAACATTTAAATAGCAGAAGGGGGATTTTTTATTGTTGCGTCAATATGCATGAATTGTTAAAAATATGATTATTATAGAGATTGTTCTATCTGACGTATCCGTATCCATATACGTATCCGTATCCGTATCGAGATATGAAATGCATCTCGATCCCGATGTCTAAATCATTTAATACAATTCCATCTCTGTTTGTGGTTACTTAAATAAGCCAAAGTCTTGCATTGAAAAATAACAAATGGCAATTTTTTTTCTATAAAAATACTAAACTGCTGTAAACCTCTATCATTTCGAAGAAAAATATTGATTAAAAAAAAAAAAAAGAAAATGAAACCAAGTTTAATATTAATTTCATTTTGTTTCCAAATATTTGTTGAAAAATCCCCTTTCTCCTTTTCCTCTCTCATAATATCAGGATATTTTATTGATTCATTCTGTATTTTTCACTATAATACCATTACACGTAACTGATAACATAACAGATACCCCCCTCCCCCCCCCCCCCCACACACACACACTGCAATACAAAATACCTTATCATCAACGCGAACAATAATATACTCTGTAGCCGTTTTTAGAGAGAGTTTTCAAATTGATTTCATAATTCGCTTCAGGACCGTTACAAGTTCTGAGTATATGCTTTGAATAGCCAGTTCAACTCCCTCCTTTTCACGTCCCCTCACATTGGCGTCGGAAGGAAATTGAAAGTAGGGAGTGGGGCTAATTGAAAGAGAGAAAAATTCAGCCCTGAAAAAGCAGAAAAAAGGAAAATTTTTTGTTCATTGTCCAGAATCCTTAAATACTATTTTGTGAGTGTGTGTGTGGGGGGGGGGGGGTCGAACTTTTTTCATTACAATTTTCTTTTCAAACACTCCCACTTACCCTACTTTAACCATTGGCGTCGGCAGCAAATTGTAATTTGTAATTGGAGGGGGGGCTATGTAAGAAATATTTTTGTTATTCCTTCAAAATAAAAAAAAACTGACAGACAAAAAAAGGAAATGAAATGTCCGTCTAAACACGAAAATCCGATTTCGGGGGGTGGGTGGGGGGTGGGTGGGTGTTAGTTTCACTAGCAATTTGTTTTTTCCAAACAACACCACTTTCAACATTAATTTAACCTAAACTAAAACGTGTTTGTGGAAAGTGGGGGGGGCTTTACCTACGCAGCAATGTTCAATGTCTATATTAAGTCTATCTTTTGATAAAAAAGTGGGGGGGACTACCCCCCCTAGCCAACCGGTTCCGACGCCTAAGTTAACTGCAATAAGCCCCCTGCCCCCCCCCCCCCCCCACACACACACACACAATAGTATTTAAGGGTGAGTTTTTCAGAGCTTGCTTTGTTTACTTAAAACTCCATCATGTAACTTTCATGAAAAGAAGTTAATATGCAAAAAAAAAAAAAAAAATAGTTAAAGAGAGGAAGATAAATCATAACCTAACATTTATTTTCCTCCCCCTTTATCGACAGGTGTTTAATCAATCAAGTCTAAAATATACAGCGTTTAAACACAACACTTTCAAATCTTGTACATAGTCATTTCTCAAGGTCCTTGAAACCCTGGATACGCATAGGCGTCGGAACCGGGAGGGGGGGGGGTAGGGGCTGCCTAGCCCTCCCCCCCTTTCTTGCAAAGATAGACATTATATAAAGGCAATTAAAATTGGAGTTTACCTTTTTTTGTTGGTTTAGCACCCCCTTTCAACTAGCTCCCCTTTCTATTTCCTTCCGACGCCCATGATACGGTTATCTACCTACAATTTAGGGAGTGTATTCAAACTGCCCCAGAATTACCAGATATCCAAAATTTTTCTGGAGAACTATGACCATCAAATACGTGATAATGAATGGCATAGAAGATGATAAAAAAGGAAATATGAGGATGGACATTTTCAGTGAATCCCCCATACACATTTGTTTTGCACTTTGATTAAATCTTTCCCAGTTAATGTACAAGTACATGTATTTACAATTTACAAGTTTGAGATAAAGAGGTTTAACTGTATATATATTATTGGGGATATGTCGTGTTCTTGTAAATGTTATTTCAAGAATGAAGAATGAATACTCTAAAATTGAGAGAGAGAGAGGTCGATCTAGAAATATTTTCTACACATTTAAATTTAAAAAAATCATACCTGTTTTTTTAATTTCATTTTTAAACTTTTATACCCCCTCCCCCCAAAAAGACATGATGCATAAGACGTGTACAGCAACTTATATGTTTTTATTAAAAAAAATCACACTACATAATTATCATTTCGTAGTGAATAAGGTTAAAATCCAAACTTGAAACGATGGAAATGTAACCAGATGGTTTAGACATCGGGATCGAGATGCCTCTCATACCTCGATACGGATACGGATACGTATACGGATACGGATACGTCAGATAGAACAATCTCTATTTATTATGTTCCCCAAACGAAGTTGGGGAACATATTGTTTTTACTCTGTTTCTTATTATTATTATTATTATTATTTTTCTTCTTCCTGGGAAAATCTTTTCCGCGAATGATCTCGTAAACTACACATTTGATCAAGATGAAACCTTTTTAGGGTCACTAGGCATGTTATGTAGATTTGCGGAATGAAGGTCATTTTGCAAGAGCGCGCACGTGCAACACGTGAAATGACTAATATAATGGATACAGCCGTAACTTTTCTATTTTTTGATGAAATGTTTTGAAACCCATAATATAAGGATATATAAGTAGTATAGACAAGATGACATGGTCAAAAACGCAAGATCTCACGCGCATGCACGTGCGCTTCGCTCTGATTGGCTGAAACTAAAGTCTCCATATCTTTCTTGTTTTTCGACAGAATACTCTGAAATTTTGAACTTAGTCATACATTAGGGAGATCTACAGCCTGATATATAAGAATTATCATGAAAGCATGTGCATGCACGTGTGCTTCCAAGAGCGCGCACGTGCAACACGAGAAATGCCCAATATAATTGATATAGACGTAACTTTATAATTATTTACGAAATGCTTTGAAATTCATAATATAAGGATATATTAGAAGCATAGACAAGAGGACATGGTCAAAATAGCAAGATTTCACGCGCATGCACATGCGCTTCTCTCTGATTGGTTGAAACTAAAGTCTTAACATCTATCTAGTTTTTCGACAGAATCCTTTGAAATTTTCAACATGCTTATACATTATGAAGATCTACAGCATGATATATAAGAATTAGCATGAAAGCATGCGCATGCATGTGTGTTCCAATCTGATTGGCTGAAACTTTGAATGCCTATAGCTTTCTTAGTTTTCAACAAAACGGGATGAAATTTAAAGTATGATTAGGTATAATTGATTCCTACATTATGGTACTATTAAAATTGAATGCACGAACAAGCATGCATGCACGTGCGCGCGCAAAATACGCAAAATGACCAATATACTTAAGAAACAGTAGCATGTATATCTTAAATTTTTTTTATTGATTCTTACAAAATATAGATATGTTAATGGTTTAGATAACATGCCATGATCATCTTGCATGTGCATGCACGTGCTTGCGCTACAATGCATTAAATGACATATAGTTGAGATCATTGTAGCTTTCATAATTCTTTGATGAAATACGTCGATACTGATCATATTTTAGAAATGTCTTACAGGAATTAGGCACAAAAGGGAGTTGGGGAGAGTTTGGGGAACATCTGTAACGGTCCCCGTTACAATTAGCACTAGTACTATTTGAAATGCAATATGAATTTAAAAAGATAACACTTGAAAAATTGTTCTTGAGGTAAAGAAGGTGTTGCAGAAACTCGCGATTATTCCTTATATATATCGAGAAAGACATTTAAATACCCTCGTTATGTTTAAATACATTGTATAGATACAGCTACGTTGAAGACTATATGTTTACGGGGATATTTCCTGCTTGGTACGGCAAAACACTTTCGTCGTTTTGCACGAAAGAGGTTGGAACAACAAAAAGCACAATGGCTAAAGCTGCATTTTGAAAGATGTACTGTAGACATCGTGCGAAAATATTTTTCATGAAATAAAACTGCGTCCCATAATTACACAGCTACATCCAAGACATTTTATTTGTTTCATATCAAATCTTGGCCACTAACTATATAAGAGACCAAAACTGCCAAAACTACAATATTTAAAAAATATATTATTCAAACAAATTAGTAACTTTATTTTCCAAGACAAAACTAAATAAAGCATTCGTTTTAAGTCACAGTATATCAAGGTAAACAATTTAATCCTACATTTCTAATATAAAGATTAGTTATTCTCAATTACCTTCTTGATACCTCCCCCACCTCTCTTTCAAAAAATATATAATTCCATTGCACTACCATTGCATATGGAAAAAAAAATATGCAAAAATAATCTATACTAGGATTCGAACCAATTCTCTGGTAAAAGTACTAGTAGGAAGCCCACTAGCATATCCACTAGACCATTTCGGACACAATGGATTTTGTGTTATTTAAAGTACACATTTTGCATTTCGTTTGGAGAATGATTTTTATTCAATTTTTGCGTTTTTCAAAAATGTGCCTCTTTGAAACAAAAATCGGAAATGGCAGTTTTGAAGAAAATTCCTGGTTCTTTGTGTATATATCAAAATTGTTTTGTTTCAAGGAGGCACTTTTTCAGAACAACGGAGATTCCCTATTTAAAAAACGAAAACCTGCTACATTTTGCCGTAAAACTAAATTTTCACATCATCTCATGGCAAACTGGAAGTCAATACACACCTTCCAAACATTGTCTCTCGTTGTGCTCTATACATCGCTGCATTTAAAAAAAATCAATATGAGTTTCTGCAACATAGAAAATCTTCTTTTAATCTGCTACACATTTAGGGAAAATAACAAAAGAATTGCAACACCCTCTAAATTACTGTAGATCTCTTAATTTTCGCGACACCTTATTTTCGATAGATAGCCATTGACTCTTGATTAGCGAGACAAAATTTTCACAAATTGTGGTTATTGCTCCATATAATCTTAAAGAATACTATTATACGCGGGAATTTAATTTTCGCGAGCACACTGTCTCAGTATACATTGTGCATGAACCCTTAAATTTATCATTAAACTTTTTAATAATCAGAAGAGCCAACAACAACACAAAAGAACAAAATGGAAATCAGGGTGAGTGAATTTGCAAACCAAAAGCAAAATTTATCCATTTTATTCCCGCGTTCAATCCAAATTTCAGACTTTTGTTCTTGATCATTGTCCTCGTTGTCTTTAAAGTCACCATCATCACAGACTCGACAGACTACGCTACATATCACATTTAAGACTACCCTTATGATATTGACTCCGAAGAATTTCGGTTCTGATCGACGACTTTGATAATATACAAGTTGAATAATGATTGCACTGATTTGGATCATAATCCCTACAAGAAGATCAAAAATCATCTTGATTCCTAAAAATGAAAAATGAGTTTTTGCTGCTTTTGGAATGTGTTCGGTGACCATAGTGAGAAACAAAGCTATCGCGAGAAGAACGGTTACTGCAAAGCTGGCTCTTTCACCGCAATCCCACGGCATTAAAAACACACATGATTGAAGACATTGCATAAAAATCAGGGGAACGATAAGACAAGTTACATAATAGGATGGGCTGCGAAGTATTTTGGATTCAATCTTAGCCCTTGGAACTTGGTAGATATCATTAATACCGAGACCGTAAACGCTTTCAACATTGATTCTTGTGTCTCTTATATGCCAGACGTTATCTTCACTAAATAATTTCATGTTGACTTTGGGATAAGGTGCATTTAAAGCAATTTCTCCATTAAAAAATCCCCATATCAAAACATCAATCGAACAATTCTGTGTGTCAAATGGAAAAAAGGAGAAAAATGTTGTGCACTCCATTGTGAATACATCCATTTTCATCATCACTGCTGAACCGTTTTTGTGAAATATTACCGTTTCCTCGATTACTTTTTCAAAATCAGATCTACTGTAGTGATTTTTTTGACGAATTTCTGGAGTCCACACATCTGATTCCTTAAAATACATTGTGGAAGTTCCAATTTCGGAAGCCTCTGAGAATGCCCAGCTTTTGGCAATTCTTGAATCGGTCCATGACATTCCTAGATATCCATTGATTGTAAATTTCCCGTTTTTGTCATCAAAACCTATGAGATGAAAGACGCTGAAAGATATGTTTATAACCATCTGTGTAACATTTGGTCGCAACTCCTTCATGTAGTTCTGAAGAATGTCCTTGCGAAGTTGTGACTCTGATGATGACGTGGAAGGCCATAAGGACATCATGGTGATGAAAAATGGAAATATGACCAACATGGCTCACCCTTAAAACTTAAAAGTGAAATGAGCAATTTATTAATCAGATATACATCACTAGTATTTAAAAAAAAAATTTAAAGCAAGGAGTAGAAAAGCATGTCAGGACAGTCTTAAAGTATTGATACCAGCTATTACTCTTTATGTATGTTTGTATGAAATCCTTTGATTATATTTGATGTAGATTGATTGATTGATTGTATATTGTTTAACGTCCCTCTTGAGAATTTTTCACTCATATAGAGACGTCACCGATGCCGGTGAAGGGCTTCAAATTTAGACCTATACTCGGCACTCAGGGCCATTGAGCAGTGAGGGTTCTTTATCGTGCCAACGCCTACCGTGACACGGGACCTACGTTTTTAAGGTCATATCCGAAAGACCCGTGACTTTCACTTCTATTGCCGAGCGCTTGGTGAAGGAACAGTCACTACCTATGTTTACGTCTTAGGTATGACGCGGCGCCGCGATCGAGAATCGAACCCGGGCCTCCCGATCACGAAGCGAACGCTCTACCACTAGGCTACCGTGACCGGTATATTTGATGTAGACAGCATGATTCAAAATTATTTTAATGAATGTACATAATGTTTTTACTGTTATACATATGACAATAATTTTTTTTGTGGATTTTATTTCAAAACATGTATAATTTTTGAATCTTTAAATATTAAGTCCTTGAATATGAGATACGAGTAAAATGCATACAAGAAAGGTGATCGGTTCCTATTTTATGATGTTTTATGTCTGCCTAAATTAATAGAATATTCTTCCCTTTATTCAGTTTTCAGGAAAAGTGTCATTGATTTGACTAAATTGTAAATTATACAGAAAAAGATTATCATTTATTTGAATCTGGTAAAACCAAAGATGAAAAAGAAAACTGAAGTCAAATTCTAGCATACAGATTTCTCATTTTTATAAAATATTCTTACCTCTTTTTGTTATATATGTCCTCACTTCTTTCCTTAGATATTCAATTTTTAACACTTAAATCTAAAGTAGATAAATGAAGAGCACAACCCTAGTAGATTTCATTGGCTGATAATTATTGTTGTTCAATTGCAACGTTTTACTGTCTGGCCTAGTAAAACAAAATACAACTCAAAGTGATAAGATCATTTTATACCTCCTACTTGAAAAGTGGGAGAGTATATAGTGATCGGGATGTCTGTCCGTGTTTACGAGAGTGCATTTATTGGGTATTTTTCATGCCAAGATTGTACTTATTGGGTACTTTTTGCTTATTGGGTATACCCAATAAGAAGTGTCGCTGAATATGCTTAAAACAACCTAATTGGGTATTTGCAGGTTAGTACCCAACAAAACTTGGACACGACGATTTGTCC